TATTTTAAAAATACAGTATTATTGAGGGACCAAAGGGGTCCTGAAAATAGTGGACTTTCCACAATGTGCTCTTCTGTACAGAACCTCAAAAAGACTAGGGAGGAGAGATTCAACAGAATAGACCAAAAAAGACCTGAAGGTGTACTTGGGACACTCAAGCAGAGTATTTGTTAACCCCAACTCCTGTGGGGTAAATAAGAGTAGGTGTCCCTTTGAGGACCAACCAAAACATATTTTGAGCTGATTTGCATGTTCAGTAATTAGGTGATGGTTCAGGTTGCTCAACTCACTTTTAAATTCAGCTTGTCAGTATCCTAAGAAGCGTCTCTAGTTCAGCTTATTTAGAGATGGGTCAGTGACTCTCTTGCTTGGGATGCTGCTGCTTTGCGTTCCAGGTGAGAGGATGCAGACAAGTGTTGGGAGCACCCCCTGCAGACTTTGCTGTTTCCCACATCTAATCTCTTGATAATATGAATTATGGAATTTGTAATTCATTTTAAGTTTCTCCCTTCTCTTCATTATTTGGTGGCTCAAAGTGATGCCTGTGACTATTGTTACCAATGTCATGTTCAATTTTCCTACACTGGATGTCTGTAAAAGTAGTTTTTGGTATGTTTTACAATTCTAGGATCCACTGGCGATATTGTGCTGACCCAGTCTCCAACTTCCTCAGCTGTTTCTCTAGGACAGAAGGCCACCATCTCCTGCAAGGCCAACCGGAGCATCAGTGGTTTGGGTGGAACTGATTTGATGTACTGGTATCAACAGAAACCAGGACAGGCTCCCAAACTCCTGATCTATGCAGCATCTAATGTAGCACCTGGGGTCCCTGCCAGGTTCAGCGGCACTGGGTCTGGGACAGATTTCACCCTCACCATCAGTCTGGTGGAGGCTGATGATGCTGCAACCTATTACTGTCAGCAGAGTAAGGAGCTTCCTCCCACAGTGTTCTAGATCAGAACAAAAAGCTCCTGGGGTTGCTGTCACGGAGAATGAATCTCTCAGATCTCATTTCCCCCACAACATCTGAACTATGGTCTGTGGAATGCCTCTTCAAAAAAGAAGTGAAAGTAATCTGATAGTATGTTTGTTCCTTCCTGTGTGTTTCATAATTAAAGTACTACATACATTTAGCCATGCTACTATTTCTTAAAAGCAATTTTTTTTAGAATCCTTCTGTTTCCTTAGTGAACTATGTTTAAATTAAAGGAAACTTTTTTCATCCATTTAAAAGAAAGCAAATTGAAAACCTTTAAGTTTTTAGGCTTAGGTCTTTCAGATAAAGATTTTCACTTGAACACCAATTTATTATTTTTTATGATTTCCATTTAATTGAATGGAAATGTAATTTCCGCTGTTTAGAAATGAAATTCTGTGCTGCAGTTACTTTTGTTTCTTTGATTCCTGTGTCGGTACCTCTGTTTCCATTCCAAAAGTAGATCTCTTTGTTTGAGATTTGTTTCATGTTCTTTTCTCCTTATCCGATATTCATATATTGTTCTGTTTTTTATCTTGTGTGTGTGTGTGATGCTGTCCATATTTACACGTGTGCATGTCTTTGGATGTAAGTGCAGGTATGGGTGTGCAGCAGCACTCAGGTGGATGTCAGAAGACAACCTATTGTGTTGGTCCTAGAAACAGAGCTTGTTTGAGACAGGAGGCTTTAGTGGTTCCTGGCTTGCACACAGGTTGGCTTGCCTCTGAGCTTATAGAAATTCTCCTATCTCCATATCCCATCTCATCATTAGAGCTCTTGAGTTATAAACACTCAGTACCACACCCAGATTTTTTTAAATTAGTTCTGGGGATTCAAACAGTTCCTCATGTTTGAGTAGCAACAGTTTTACCAAATGATATATCTGTTTAGTCCTAATGGGTTTTTTCAAGTACTATATTGAACAAGAGTGGAGAGTGTGTATACTTGTTTGTTCTTGACTTTAGTGAAAATACTATCTTTTTTTCCATTTAGGATGATATTGGCTATGGGCTGGTTATAAATTTCATTTATACTATTGAGGCGTGTCCTCTGCATCCTTAGATTCTCCATGACTTTTATCATTAAAGGTGTTTTGGATTTTTGTCAAAGGCCCTTTCTTCAGTTAATGAGATGATCACATGTTTTCTATCCTTGAGACTGTTTATGTGGTGGATTGCACTTTTTGATTTAAATATGTTAGTCCAACCCTTCACCTCTGAGATAAACCTGATTTGACCATGGTTGATGATTTTTCTATGTGTTCTTAAATTCAGTTTCCTAGTGTTTCATTGTGATTTTTTGCATTTATACTCATCAGGGAGTTTGGGTTATGACCTCCTATTTTTGGGGTCTCCATGTGGTTTTGGTATCACGGCAATATCGATTTCGTTAAAAAAATGAAAGAACTCCTTCATTTTCCATTTTAGGTAAGATTTTGAGGATTATTGTTGTTAGTTCTTCTTTGAAGGTCTTGTAAATCTCTGCACTGTTATCCATATGATTATAGGAGATTTTCATTGGGAGATATGGTATCATTGATAGCTAGACATGATTCTTATCGGTAGCAAATGATGAATGACATTTTCTAATCCAACCAGCTGTTCTGCATATTCACTGGGGAAATGAGTCCATTAATATTGACTTATTAGTAAAAGAGGTATATTAGGATCCTTGCTTAGCCAAGATATTTGTGCTCCACTTTACCAGCCATGGTGTGTTCTCTCTGCCATCTCAGCACCCAAAACTGCTTGGGTCACTGGGATCCTGGCCTGCCCCAGACCTGTGAGCTCTCCCAGACCAGCTCTGGTGAGTTTCCTCCACTATCTCAGCTCTCAGGGTTGCTTGAGTCACTAAGAACCTTTCTCATCCTAGATCTGCATGCCGCCTCAGACCTACAATGGCAAGTCTCTTCCACCGTCTTAGATCTTGAGCCACCACACAAATCAATCAGTCTAGGTATCTGTCATCAAAAAAGACACAAAATATGTGAATACCCAAAGATGATGTGTCTGCTCCAGAAATTAACCACCCCATCATAATGCTTCCTGAAAATGGCAACCTACCGGATGCTCCAGACAAGGATTTCAAAATAAGGATTATAAAAATAATCATGGAACTCAAAGAGGATATGAAAAAAGAATGAATGAAGATGGGAAAAACACAAACGTTTGAATAAAATAATGAAAGCTATTCAAGAAACAAATTAGGATTCAATAATGAGACAATCTCTCTGCAAAGTGTGTGTCCCTGAATTAAAATTCACCCATGACTCAGGAAACATTGCAAATGAGGGGGCTGAAAGATTGTAAGAGTCAGTATTGGCCCATGAACATAGGTAAACAGACCACTGGAAGCTTTCACATGTGAAGTTTCAGCAATGGTGGCCTCGAGCACAGGACCCATGCCAATTCAATAAGACACGGGCCCAGAGTGGAGTGAGGGAAATGGGTAGCAGGAGACCCTATCCTGGGAACTGTAGAAGACTGATTACTACTGGGTGAGGGAGAGTAGACCTTTGTTAAGATCTCTAGATGGGCTGACTAGACTCCAGTGGATGAATTCACAGCCAAAGAACATCTGGATACAAATGCTTGACCTGATAGGACTTAACATGTATGCGAAATGCATGAGGTCCATGGGGTGGGGGTGTGAAGGCATGCATGGAGGAGAGGGTCTATTTGATTAAGAAATGTACCAAAGCTCAGTTAAATTTTTTTTAAAACAGACAGTCTCCAAATTTAAGACAAATTGAAGTAAAACTTGAATTACACATGAAGTTTAAAAGAAAACCTAGAGGAAATAAGCAAAAAGGAAGTGGAAAAAATGGAAAAGAGGTTATGAGGATCTTGAAGACAAGCTTTGAGA